CTGCGGGCGGGCCGCATTTGCCGCCATGCAATCCGAGCATGGCGATCCGAGACTTGGAGGTCAGCCGAACGCGCTTGAGTGTGCAATCAGATGCCCCATACACTCTTCTCAGCACAACACCAGACACGTGACCCTTTAGCTCGTCGAACCGCAGATGTCCGACGGCGGCAGGTCATCGAAGGCCAAAGACGACCCCATCCCCGACAGATTGTAGCGAGCGTGGGAGCCGTCGGGGACGCGGACCGTGCAGCTCAAACAACCAGCGCGGCGCCAACAGCAGGAGCGAGAAGGGATGAGGGCCCCCCAAGCCTGGCAGCGTCCACACGGGCGAGGGAGGAGGGGAGGGAGGGAGGGGTGACGGCCGGTGCGACACGGGGCACTGCGACGAGGCCTGCTCCCGAGCGAGGGGGGGCGGGTCGCGGAGGAGCGGGGAAGGGGAGGCAGAGGAAGCAGATGGGGCCCTGGAGGAGGAGGGACGACGGAGGAGAACCAGCGCGGAGCATGGCAGGGGCGAGGCGAGGAGGGGCAGGAGGCAGCGGGAGCGGGAAGGGCCAGGGCCGCAGCGCGAAGCGAGGAGGCGCGGGGAGCCACGAGCCGGGAGCGAGGAGCCGCCCCGCCCGGGCGGCCCAGAGCGTCTGCGCCCGCGCTCCGCGGTCTGGCTCCCGGGGCGGGGGGGGGGGAGGATCCTGGGCTGGAGCGCCCTCGGAGCGCAGAGCAAGAAAGGGGGGCGGGAGGAGGAGGAGGAGGAGGAGGAGGAGGAGGAGAAGGAGGAGGAGGAGGAAAGGCTGCACCCCATTTTCTTTAGGAAAGGCTGCTTGAACTAATTGCCTACAGGCAGAGAGGGAGAGGAGGAAAAGGAGGAGGAAAAGGAGGAGGAGGCGGAGGATGAAGAACGGGAGGAAGAGGAGGAGGAGAATGAGAAGGAGGAGGAGGAAGGTAATAGGAGGAGGACGAGGAGGAGGAGCGAACAGCGCAGAGTGAGCCCGCACGCGCAGCCCGCACTTGCGACGCCCATGTGCAAACGACGTATGCACAACGAACGATGTTGTCCCGTGGCACGTGGCACGAACACGGTTAAGACGATAATGATGTCATGACCGTATTGGCTCAGGATACTACGTTCCATGAGTTCTTGAATATCCAGCACAGAGCAGTAAAAACTCTTCGAAATCTGGGACATGCTGGAAGGTATCGTGATCAAGCCCTCTTGCTCCTCTGAGCCAGGAGCCAACCACCTGGAGATGCTGCAAAACTGAAGGGGTGAAGGGCAGTCCCTTCTAAAAACGGTGTTGACGCTCGAAAGCTCCTCAGTGCTATGGCCAGAGAGGCAATGCTGCGCAACAGCAACACGACTGGAAGGAGGTCATGATTCAAAGCACGGCGTACCACATCTCGGCAATTCTCAGAGCTGGGAAAATGATATGCGGCTCCTTTTGAACACGTGGTTCCCGGCTGAAAGGCAAGCCCATGGGGCGAACGTCTGTCAAGGAGGCGAGTAATGCGGAATGTTTGTTGGGACTTGTGAGAGGTCGGGACGTGAGGGTGCAGAGTAGCACCGTTGATGCATCCAGGGTTTGCTCAAGTCCGTGTCCTCCTCCCCCGCAACCACCACCCCTCGGACCTCTCCAAAGATGCGTTCGGACCAGGACGTAGATGAGGATCTAGCCGTGGCGACGGGAATCCCCCCATGAGACCAAAACAGGGTGCAAACCCCGTTGCTGGAAGAGATGGCTGCGTAAACAGAACATGCTGGGAGGTCCACGCAGATTCCTTGGATCCTCGCTGGACCCCCTCCCTGGCGCGCGGAGCGCGCCATGGGGCCCCAGCGCCGGAGGCGCCGCCAGGGGGCCCCAGCGCCGATCCAAGGAATCCACGCGGACCTCTGAGCCTTTATGTTTGTGCCATTGCTTGGTCCCTCCCCTACAGTCGGACACAGGCCAGAAGAGCATCCTTCAAGCACACGAGACCCTCCGCTGGCCAAAACGAAGAGCACTCGAGGGTATCCTCCCCCAGGGTGCACATACACATCCAACAAACACGAGGAACATGCGGGTTCCCTCCGCGAGCCGACCTCGACCTCATGCCCCCGTCCGACTGTACTCAAGCCCCAATCCTCAAAATGTGTCTGGACATTGTCCAGAGGCCCCCATCCTCGATCCCCTCGGGCCGCGGCCTCTTCCTCCCCCTTACCTCCCTACCTCACTCCCTCCTCCCTCCTCCTCCTCCCTCCCTCCCTGTTCGACCTGTAGGATGCCTGACGCTGTTCGACCAGACCCACCACCTCACCGAGCACCTGGCGATCGCATCGCCTGCCTGTCTCGTCGCGACCATCGAGGCGGGAGAGGCACCCAGTACCGAGGGGAACGAGATGCGCAAGGAGCTCCCCAAAGGACTGCTGAGGAAGAGAGTGAACATACCCGCCATCAAGGCAGCGGGGCCCATGCCAGACGTAGCGTTCCTCAACCAGGACGATGCCAAGTCAGTCCTGCTCGAGTCAGACTACGTGCTCGACGACGGGGCCAGGGCCACGCTGCAGGAAGGTTCAGAAGGGCAAGAACAGCAGAAGCCGAAGATACAGCACGCCGAGAGGTACAACCTGAACCACTTCTGCACCGACAAGTTCAGCGGGGTGACCACAGAGGTGATGATCCCGTGGAGAATACAAAGAGCAGAGATCTTTGTGCTCAACCTTTTCTGCGGACACAGGCGCAAGGACGACATACAGCATGCGTTCGAGTCAGCGCCCAAGGTTCGAGGTGATGTCAGAGAAGGTGCACATCATGGTCCTCAGCATCGATGTGGCGATCGACGCGCAGCGCTGCGACCTCATGCGCCAGGACAGCCTGATGGTATTCCACGAAGGGATCCTGAAGAGGCAGATCGTGATGTCGGGAGGAGGACCGCCGTGCGGGACATGGAGTGCTGCGAGGTGGTCGGAGCAGCCAAGGCCGCCGCCGCTCAGATCTCACGACCAGTTCTGGGGAGTGGCCCACGCTGCGCCGCAGCAGAGGGTCCAGCTCGCCGTGGGGAACGCCCTGATGCAGTCCATGGTGCTCCTCCTCGCGGCGCACCCGGTGGCGGGCACGGCAGGATGGTCGGAGCACCCGATCCCGTGCAGCTGGCGGCTGGCAGCCGTCACGTCGTGGACGTGGGAGCCGTGGCTCGCGCTGCAGTCGGCGCCGTGCACCACGACCACCGACTTCGACCAGTGCGAGCACGGCCAGCTGAGCAGGGCCCCGACCAGGCTTTTCGGGCTCCGCATGGCGGGGCTGCACCGCCGCTTGGTTGCGACGCCCGGGGGAGGAAAATGCTCCCACGGGCGTGAGGCCCACGCCACTCTGCTAGGGCGAGAGGATGGATCCAGGGCCTTCCGGACGGCGCGGAAGAAGGTCTAACCCCCTGGCCTCTGCCGCTGCATCGCGGAGAGCATTCTGGAGACGCTCAAATCGGCTCTGGATGAAGCGCTCCCGGAGGCTCCTAGTGATGATTCCCTGTCTCACCACCTCCTCGTGCAGGGCCTGGCGGATTTTTATGTCTCAGAGATCCCGGTGGTTGAGGACGGGGCCAGGGAGTGGGCCCCAGACTTTGCGAGGGGAAAGGGCCGCAGCAGGCCTGACCCAGAGAGGGGCCGCTTTGAGGCCCCGACCCCTCCCGCCGAGGTCCCCCCGGGCCCCTCCCAGGATCCTGAAGACAGCCAAGGCCCCACAGAGGAGGAGGCCTAATTACGCTGCTGAGGTGATCGGAGTCTCCCCCCTCCTCTGTCCCCCGACCCCGCCTCCTCCTCCGCCTCTCCCTCCCCGCCCCCCTCTGACCGACACCCAGCGGCGCAGGATAGCCGAGAATAAGGCCAAGGCCCAGCGGATACGGCAAGAACGCCGTAGGCCGTGGGCCTCCAGGGGCCTCGACCTGCGACTCGCTTGGGGAGCCCCAGAGGGCTGCCCCATGCAGGTGAGCCCCTGCGGGGCTCGGGCTGGCTTGCCAAGGAGCGGGTCGGCCTGGGCCCAATAATCTTCGGAAGGGCCTGACAAGGGATCGGGCCCACCACACCCTCCACCTGGCTACAGGCCAGGTCCGAGCCGGCCCACTATAAGGGCCACTGCACGTCGGCATCGACAAGACGCAGAGTTCCACCACCACCACCACCTCCCTCCCTCACTCCCTCCTCCCTCACTCCCTCACTCCCTCCTCCCCCTTACCTCCCTACCTCACTCCCTCCTCCCTCACTCCCTCCTCCCTCCCTCCTCCCTCCTCCCTCCTCCCTCCCTCCCTCCCTCACTCCCTCCTCCCTCACTCCCTCCTCCCCCTTACCTCCCTACCTCGCTCCCTCCTCCCTCACTCACTCCTCCCTCTCCACAATTACACCATATGAATACTACTCTCTTCTCTCCCCTGGTGGCGTCCGGGGAATGTCTGGCCCCCCTTCCCGTACTGGTTTTTTACACGCAAGATTCCCGGGAGTTGGGTTTTCGTTCGTTTTTTTCGAAATGCTGCTCTCGCTGAAGCGCTGGCCTCATTTTCGGACTACCGCTCGTTCCGAATCATGCTCCCGCTGCTGCGCTGGCCTGATTTCCGTGCTTCCGATCGTTTCGAATCGTGCTCCCGCCGCAGCGCTGGCGTCATTATTTCCAGCGCCATACCACGGCATGGTCTTCGGTCCTTCCGAATAGGCCTCAAAATCTAGAAAAAGACCTCCCGAAGAAACCATCGGAAGTGATTACACGATCGGTGTCGATTCGTTGATTCTGTGGGCCGCGAAAGCCGCCCACCCACTTTGGGGCGCCGCCACGCCATGCTATTTCGGGCTACGCGTCCTCATTTCCGCGCTTCCGCGCTTGGATTTTTCAAAATGCTGCCCTCGCTGAAGCGCTGGCCTCATTTTCGCGCTACAGTTCGTTCCGAATCGTGCTCCCGCTGCTGCGCTGGCCTCATTTTCGCGCTTCCGCTCGTTCCGAATCGTGCTCCCACTGCAGCGCTGGCGTCATTATTTCGAGTGGTTTTCG